TGTCTATGACCGGGTACCCATTCTCACCTGGGTGAAGTAAGGAAAATTTGTGTAAAGTGCCTTTCTCAAGGACACAACGTCGGGCCCGAGGCTCGAATCCGCGGACCTGCAACCTCACGATTACGAGTCCGGTAGTGATTAACTACTAAGCCACCGATGCCACAAACTACCCTAAAGTTCTTTCAGAAAAAAACAAAAAAAACTGCACGGACTTCAAGTCCACCGCTAGCCATGCAAACCAGGCTACCAGTCACTCGACAGCAAAGACCACACTTAACCCACCTCTCCTAATTTATTTCGAGGGCCGCCAAGTAAACTATGGTAAGTCATGTTTTTCAAACTTTACAGGAGAGACAAAAAACAGATTTTCTTGAAACGTTTAGGGTGGATAAATTTCATTTCCATAAGGGAGTCTACAGTATAAATTAGGCTCCCTTATGAAAATGAAGTTTCTCCACCCAAAACGCTTTTAAAAATCTGTTTTTTGTCTCTCCTGTTAAATTTGAAAAACATGACTTACCATAGTTTACATGGCGGCCCTCGGTTTGTCGAAACAATCACAGAGTTTTCATCACACGCTAAAATTTTTTCCTCACATTATATCCAAATCTTTGGCAGCAATAGAAAAAAACAAACAAAACATTATCCTTTCCAACACAACATGGTCTAGAGTAGGCAGACCTCAGGCATTTCAGACACAGCCGGCTGGTTTGTTGTTCGTAAGTGTTTTACGGCACTTGCAACACAATAAGGTCGTATAAGTGCTGAAGACAAGAGGGGGTCACAAGAGAGAAACAAACACGCAAAAAGAAGGAGGGGAGATTAAGACGATAAGATGTTTGATAGGAAAAAAGAAGCAAACCACACCAGAGCACCCGCCAACCGCCCATCAAAAAAAGGAGGGGAGATTAAGACGATAAGATGTTTGATAGGAAAGAAGAAGCAAACCACACCAGAGCACCCACCCAGGGTGAAAAAGGCAAATGATTGACACTACAACACGGGATTGTTTTCTTCGTTTTAGTAAGAGTTTTACGGTACCAGCAATACAACTAGGTCATTAAAGTGCTAAAGATTAGATTTTTGTTTTAGTAGAGGTTTAATGGGGCTCGCAACTGCATAAGGTCATATGAGCGCCAAGGGGTGGATGTCAATAGAGAAGTCTTTACAGGG